ATTAGGGGTGAACGTCACTCAAGGGTGAAGCCTATCTCCAGTGCTACTGATTTATCCTTACTATCCCAACCTAAAAGTGATCTCAAGTTGAAACAGAAACTTTGGGCTGATAAGTATCTGGAAGAATAACTCCTCCTCAGTACGTCAGTATAAAATCTTCGCCTTGGTAGACATACTCAGCATCCAATTCAACAGGTTGATTCATCCAGTTACCTTTGGATGTGCCTTGTCTACTATTACATTCAGATATTATACATTAAGTTCCTCCTTAATTCAAAGTTCAATGCAATAAATTATTCTTAGAGACTAGAAAAAGGTTGATTTTACTAGATATGAACGGTATATACTACAATGTTTCCACCCACTCATCAGCTCTAGACTTCTTGACGTCAAAGGTAGAAAGTGAAAGAGGAAAAGATTTAGGTTACAAAATGCTTGGTAAGATATTATACCACAATAGGAGAAGCAAATGTTTCCTCTTGCCTGTGAATTGTCAGGTCTCAATTTCTAAGTCCAACAGAACACTACTTTAAATGAAGGGTGTATTTTTTTTCTGCAATGAACATGGGGATGCAGATATTTTTTTGAGTTAGTGTTTTCATTTCCTTTGGATAAATACCCCAAAGTGGAATTGCTGGATCATATAGTAGTTCTATTTTAAATTTTTTGAGGAACCTCCATACTGTTTTCCACAGTGGCTTTATCAATTTACATTCCCACCAACAGTATGATAGGGTTCTCTTTTCCGTATATCCTCACCAACACTTGTTATTTCTTGTCTTTTTGATGATAGCCATTCTAACAGGTATGAGGTGATATCTCATTGAGGTTTTGATTTGCATTTCCCTGATGATTAGTGAGGTTGAGCACATTTCCATGTACCTGTTGGCCATGTGTATATCTTCTTTGAAAAAAAATATTCAGATCCTCTGCTCACTTTTAATAGGATTGTTTTGTTTTGTTTTTTGGTATTGAGTTAAATGAGTTGAAAGGCATATACTTTTATAGAATATGTTTTCAAAGTACTTGGCCTTTCATCTAACACTCATTGTTTGGGCTCCATTTCCCTGCACCACAACCTGGAAATTGTCTCTAGGAAAAAAGCCTTAATATATGTGGGACTCACCTTGTGAGGTGAATCAAGGATTGGGGCTCTGCTTTGGCTCCAGTCCTATCACTGCAAACAGTGATTTTATAAGATTTCTACAGGTTTTATAGTTATATAAAGTGGGAAGGTAGGTCCGATACCAACTACTCATCATGGCTGAGACCATAAATTTGCTTATATGGTCTTAGAGCAACACACACAAAAACTTGAGTTATTTTAAAATTACCATTTATTGCTAGGCTTTTGACAGAGGAAAACCTCAGGGGTAACTATAAGCACTTCATAGATTTCTTCCTGAGGATTTATCAATTTAATTAAAATCTTACTTGAGAACAGGCAACTGACTTCAATCATCACAGTGAATGATTATAAAATAAAGACTAACACACCTAAATAAGCCTAGGTCATCATTATTCTCGAAAGCTTCCATCTAATTGAGTTTTTAGAAATTCAGAGTCATTGTCTTATATAAACAATGTTGACCTTGGCAAGTTTATTTTACCAAAAATTAACTTAGATTTAATAGACCACTTTTAGGATATATAATCATAATTTTTTTGAGTCAGTAATGCCCTATGTGCCAACTGGAAATTAAGGACTTCCATAAAACATTTCTGATCACTACACCCCAACTAGATTAAGTTTCTGGGAAGAATTCTCCTACTGCCTAATTCATATAGCTTCCTATCCACCCAGAAATAGAGGAATTGGCCCCTTCACCTTGGCGATTTATAGAGGAATCCTACTCCCTTCTATATCTTGCCTACTTCCCCAAACAATCTTAGGCATCTTGAAATAAAGGAACATATGCAAGAGAATCATTTACATATGAATTAGAGAGCAACCACTTTTTAGAAACATCACTGGTAGAATATATTTGTAAAGAAATGCAAACATTTCAACAAATGACCCTGGCTTGTACTCTTGAAGCATTTAGGTGAGAAAATTGCTCAGAACTATGATAACAGGTAGCACCTCCATCATGGTGGTACTGACTTGGACTGAGATATTTCAAGAGCCATAAGCTTCAGCTCCTATATATTCTTCTCTAGTCTCCACAGTGTATTCCTACAAAAAGGAAGTGAAGTTGGCCTTGAGTAGCAATGACTTTAAGTCAAGACATTTGCCTGGACTACCGAAGGAACTTTCTACTACTATTTCTGTTTTTACCTTAGTAGTATCTATTGCTACATAACAAATTACCCCAACTTTTAGCTGCTTAAAATGACAAATATTATCTCACACAGTTTCTGAGGGTCAGGAGTCTGGGAGTCACTAAGCTGGCTTGGTCTGGCTTTGAGTTATCAGGATGTTGGCAGGGGCTATAATCATCTGAAGGCTTGAGTGAGGCTGAAGGATTTGCTGCAGACTTTGGCTTCTCACATGGCTGTTGGCAGGAGTTCCCAGTTTCTTGGCTAAAGGTCTTAGTTCCTTATGACATGGCAGCTGGCTTCCACCAGAGCAAATGATTAAAGAGGGTGGTGGGGGCCACACTGTCTTTCTTGACCTGGCCTTAGAAGTTAAGCACTGTCACTTCCATCATGTCCTATTCATTAGGAGTCAGTCACTAAATCCATCCACACTCAAGGGAGGGAGAATTAGGCTCCATTTCCCGAAGCAAGGAGTATCAAAGAATTTGTAGACATACTTTAAAACCACTACACTCCCCTCTTTGATCGAGTATATATACTGCAGTCACAATCTTTTACTAACAAATCTGTTTACATCTCTCTTCTTATTAGCCTTTCAATGGTATCTCACTGATTTGAAGATAAAAACACAACGTCTTTGGTGCTACTTGATATGGCCAGTGCTCTCCCCCTACAAACCCCTCCAATGTTGCCTCCTATTTTTTCCCAGTTCTCTGTCTACTGGCCACATTCTCTTGCTTTCAGTTCCTCTTATATGCCAACTTCCTTTTGATTCAGGGCCTTTGCACATGCTGTTCCTGGAACCCAGAATGATCATCATCTTGCTGCACTTATTCATCATTCAGTTCTTGGTCCAAAGGATACTTCCTGAGGAGAGCTTCTCTGACTCATTAGCCTTTATTAGCTACCCAGCTACAGTTCTTGTTATAGCCTGTACTTTTCATCTGTGGGGCTGATCACAGTTTATGACTGCTTATTCATCTGACTATTTTGTTATGGCTGTAAAAAGTCTGTCTGATTTGTTCACCATTGAATCCTAGTGTTTGGTACAGGGTTTGGCTGGTATTAGTGCACAGTAAGTATCTGTACTGAATAGGTTATTAGGAAAGGAAGATGAATTGATAGAACAGAGACTTCTGCTTTGAGACCCAAGTTAGAAGAGGTAAGCAAATACATCTTTATCTCTAAGCTTAAGTAAAGACCAAAAGAAAAACATACCATAAATGTGCATAAAGTGGGATATACCAACTGATGGAGACGCCAGCAGGGGAAGCACAATTACAGGAAGACAAGGAAGGCACACATGTAATCAGGACTCTGCTGCTGCGTCACAGATCTGGTTAGGTCATTAAAGAGATACAGCCCTAATCTTAATCTTTGGCTCTGTGCTAAACCGGTACAGCCTTGGTTCAGAAATGCATGAATATATCTGCACTTCAAGGTGACTTTGCAGGTAGGAGAATCATTATTCTTAGAACTTTTATTCTGATGTTTTGCCCCATCTGCTTGCCACTCCATCACTCACAAACTGATCTGAAAATATGCACACATGGTGGTAGTCTCTGAGCTGTAAACTGTGGGCAAGAAAGGCGCCCAAAAAGCATCACTTCCCCAGTCTCATCCTCTTTGTTAACATGACAAGGGTGAGATTCCTGGATTAGAACCATTCTAGGTTTTGGGATGTCTTTTGCAATAGGAAGAGACATCTAGGTGAGAGTTGGAAAACGTCCACTGCTACTCATTGTGTTGTCAAACCCTTTGCACTCCTGGGGACTAAGAGGCCTGCCTTTCAGAGAGTCCATTCACAGAGCATTGCAAGTGAGAAACAAAAACAGCTTGTTGGGAAATGAGTTCAGTCCCAGCAGCACAGCTCTGAGCCTGGAGGGAGGACAAACAAAGCCACTGCTAAGAATAAAGGCAAGTTCCGTGTCTCTCTCCTTATGGTTTATCTTGCTCCAGCCTCTTGTGTCCAGGCTTGAAAGCATCTAGGGATCTGACTGAGCCTCTCTAATTGGGTGCCTGCAGTTCATCTTATTTTTCATTAAAAAAATAAGCTCATCGGCACTGTAGCCTCAGGGGTCCACACGGAACATGTTTATAGAGAAGTTTTTGTGTTTATTAGCATTTCACAAAGCCCATTAGACAAAAGCCTCAGAAACTCGCCCAGCCTCAGGAAGCTTCCAAATATGAACACTTTATGTCACAAGCCCTAGGTCACTGCTAGTGACAGGCACACAGGGCCCCGAGAAGGCTATCCTTTCACTCAGCCCAGGTTACTTGAGTCAGTGGACCTTGAAGGGGACATCCCTCCAGAAAGTCACAGCCATTCGTTTTGGGTTGAGGTTGTAGGAAAGACATTTCCTTCGAAGTAAAAAATCATGAAGCACCTACTAACCTACTATGTGTCTGGCATGCTGGGTGACGTAAATATGCTGGCATGTGGATGTTCTCTTAATACCGACAATAATTTATGAGGTAGATGAGAGTTTCTTGTCTTACAGAAAAAGTCACTGAGGTAAAGAAAGATCAATGACTTGCCCCAAGTCCTACAAATAAGAGGAGTCAAAATTCAAAATCAGGTCTATCTAATCTCAGAGTCTCTCTTCCTCCTACCAGAATGTAGAGTCTCTTAATATAAATTACGATTTGCACAACAGCCCCTTTGAGACTCTCATCCCAAACTACGGTGAAGTAGTACAAGGAGGGCAAAGGGCCAGCAGACCAGGATTTGGGTTCAGTACCTGCTAGGCCACCTGCTGGGCCACCTTGCTGGGCCGTTTCTTCATCGGGATCAGGTGCCCTCCTGGAGGAAGACTGAGCAGGAGTCATGCATCAAGCAACCAATATGTCAAGACCTAAGAAGAAATAATGTTCCACAAGGATAAGCACAGCAGAAAGAAAACCAAATTAATTTCCATTGCTGCCAGAGGGGGGGAAAAAGACATTTCAGCAATTGATTCCAAACGCCGACTGTTATGAGACAGAACACAAGAGCAAGTGACTTCAAGTTAAACCTGACCAATTGATTAATAGAAACCATCAAGTAATTGCCTACTAATAGCAGCGGCCTGGAAGGCACTGGAATGTTTGTAAGGAAGTCTCAATTCCACCCAGCCCAAGCATTTCCTAACACTGGAAATGAAAGAAAAGATTTTGTGACTATATTAAATATACGTAATGACCATTTTTAATTACTGCACTTAAGGGTGGTTGATTTACATATGCTTCTTAGTCTTTTCCTCCTCTCCTCCCACCAAGGTATGTAATAGCTGTTGAAGCAAGGACAGAATGAAATGCAAATAAGCAAAGATTGTACAACAGGGTCACGGTATGCTGCTTCTTAAGGCCAGCTGAAGCCATTTCATTAAGTCAGGAGAGAAACATTTTTACCAGTAAGGTTTATACATAAACATAAATGGGAGACGTAAATGGGAGCCTGACTAACCCAACGTTCACCAAAAATTTGGCAAGGTAGAAACCCATTCCTCAAATATTTCTTGCTAAGTTGAGGTTTGATTTTTTGCATTGTTTCTGCATAAATAAAGTAAAAACATTTTTGAGTGAGCCATTACCATCAATCATCTGCCTATAATTAAAATAAATGGCACAGAGTTACATATGTCAGGAGTCAAAATAAACTCTTCCTTCATATGCAGTATGCTAGCTGTATGTTAGGAGACCATCTGCAAATATCCAACCTGAATCTCCTTCTGAGACATAAGATCCTGGAGGCAGTTAATGCAGAGCAAAACAGCAAGGTGTGATTAGCATAGGTGTTCTTCTAAGGAGTCTGAATCCATTTAAGTTTGTTCCAAATGTGGGTTTGCCCTAGGAAAGACCCAGAACGTATTTTTATTTTAAACCAAGTTGGTAAAGTATAGCCCAAGGCCAAATGCACCCCCCTTTCACCTATTTTTATAAATATAGTTTTATTGGAACACAATGACACATTTGTTTATGTATTATCTGTCTGCTTTCAAGCGACAAGGGCAGAGTTGAGTAGTACTGAGAGATGTCTGCAGTGCTGAATGTATTTACTATCTAGTGCTTCATGGAAAAAGTTTGTCTGCTCCTGATCTAAACCATGCCCAGTTCTCCTTTGAATTCTACCACATAAAACCAATCAAACCAACAATGCTTATTAAGATCCTGTATGGGCGAACTGGTATGTTCACCTCCTACTGAGTCATCCCAGGTAGACTCTTCCCTGGGAACAGCCTCTAACAGAGTAGAAATGATGGGACTGGCTGCTTGCATAGCCCAGAGTTTCAGGGTCACGGCCAACACCACAATCTTTCAAGCAGCAGTATGGACCCATGGTCCCTCTCCCATGGCTGTCTTCTCAGTGTTTGGGGCAATATATGACATATGAGGCCCAGATCACACTATAACACAGCTGACACTCTGCCTGGACAAGATAGACTTATAAGAAACAGATGCCCACAAGATTTAAATTTTGGAATTAGCCTTGACAACAACCTATTCTGACTTTCAAGTGTCTTAGGCTTAAAGAGAAACAAAACAAAACAAAACAAAAATCATTAATTTTTTCCCGCTTGGCAGGCATTCTTTGTTTACAGTTATATGAAGGCATTCCTACTTAAATTCTTTTGGTACTGCAGGTTAATATTTTATATACAAAATATATAAACAGCTATTTGTATGTAATATCAAGAGAATATACAAACATATTTAGTCTATCAATACATTTTCCAGAACTGAGAGGGAAAGATGACAAAAAACGCAGGTACTTTGAGATCATAGAGTGATCACTGGGCATATTAGGTCCTACTGCACTGTACGCATCAGCATTTAGAGCTCCAGAATGATTGCTTTTTGAATGATTCCTTCATTACCAGGAAATTGCTTACAACTAAGCAGGATATGCCCAAAGCTTCATGTAATATCTTGGCTTCTCTATAATATTTTGATTGCACATTCATAAGAAGATAAGGGCTCTTGTTCTTTCAGAAAAAAGAAACAGGCATTTTAAACTTGGCAAGTTTTCTGGCAGTAAGTATTCTACAAGGGTTCATGACATTTCCATGAAGCTGTCTATAATACATCACCTATCAACCTCTTTGACACTATCTACACCAAAACATCCCAAAGGCAGTCAGAGGTGAAGGCTCTGGAGTCTAATTAACCTGAAAGTGTCAAGTTTTCAAATTCTCTCCAGCCTGAAGACCCTAGGAAATTTCATATGTTCATTAATTCTACAAATATTTATCAAGTTTAAGACAATGTTAAGGATACAAAAATGGATAAGAACAGGTCCTTGCCTCCAAGCACCTCAAAATCTATTTGTTTCATAAGAGAGGGCTAGTGTGAGCTGTAAGTGGGCTGAAAAATTCCTAACAAAAATTCAGAGCTTTTCTGTAGTGAATCAGATCTAGCCGATTAGAAAATCATTTCTTAGATGAAAAGGATTTTGCTAGATGGAAAGAGATTGTATACTGTCTTGAAATGGCTATAGTTTGTTTTTAAACCCACCTTCTTGCAATACTCAAGTTTTAAAATTTCTCTCAATAAATTTCTTATTGACTTCAAGCAGTTCAGCCTATTTAATGCAAGAATTTAACACTATTTTTTAAAAGAATAGGAAGCTATTAATAGCCTTTGATAATCGTGAAAGATCAAAAATTTTAATAGTAATGTTGTGTCCATTGTGTTATTTATAAAAAAGGGAAAGCAAAAATTCATAGCCTCTAAATGTAATTGGATCCTGGAATAGAAAAAGGCCATTGGTGAAATAACTAGGGAAATCTGAATGAAGTCTATAATTTAGTAGTATTGTACCAATGTTAGTTTCTTAGTTCTGATAAATGTATCATAATTACGTAAAATGTTGACATTAGGGAAAACTGGATGACAGAGTATATGGGAACTCCATTCTATTTTTGCAACTCCTTGGTAAATCTGAAATTATTTTAAAACAAAATGACTAAAGAATAGTACCAAGTTATTGTTCAAAGCTATTTAGTTTTTCTCATATCTTAGTGTAGACATGAGAGAACGCAAACAGGAGCACCCGAAATTGGCCAGATAGATAGGCATTATCAGGACTTTTTTTTAAAGTAAGAACATGGAAGTAGAGGCTTCCAGTGGCTCTTTCAAATGTAAAATGTACCACTCTGCTGTGAGATTTAGAGACAAAACCCTATAATTCTCTTTGAGAGTAGAACTAGAGGGATCTTTCAGTTTATTCCAGTGCTTGTCAGTTTATCCGTCAATACATTCCTTATGGCCAGAGAGTTAATGTGCACTTCCGAGGGTATGAAGGTTTACCAGAGATGACGCACCTACAAACTATCTTCATCATCTCAGGTTTAACTTTAAAAATTCATTCAATACATTATGTTTTATATTACTTATCTATTTAACTGTTCTCTTGAAGTTCTTATAAAATTGATGACCAAACTAAACAAACCAAAGCAAAAACCGAAGCTCTTATATGTTAAAAAAAATTTAGCTGATTGTATCTTGTTGATCTAAGGATATCGTTTGATCTTAGATGTATATAAAATTTGCTGAGGGGTGAGAGTGGGAAGAGGGATGTACTATTAATTTGAGAAGCCTAGAGTTCCTGGCCTAACAGAGTTCATCCAATTTGCTCAAGACCTGTACCACCTGAGTGAAGACCAACAACTCCTTGTGGGTGTGCACGTGGGTCTTGGCATGTGGGATGCCTCACTCTCACTTTTCTAGCCACAGAATCCTTCAGTCAAGGAAGCTTTCATCCCAGATAGTTCGAGAGGAACCTTCCCTTTTTATGTTCCTTGCCCTTTTTGTTTGTCATCTGCCGTCTTTTCCCCACATGGAAAAAGGGAGGACATTTTTCAGTATATCAAATTCAGTCAATTTAGCAATCCAGGGGACTGGCATGCATTTAAAGATGCTTTTCTTTCAGCTTGTTACACTGACAAGACCATTGTTATGGAGTCTGAAACACTGAATGAAAATAGGTGCCCTCCAGAGTCCTACTTGGTTAGTCAGGTCTATAGAGTACAAGGGGAAGCAAATTCAATTGTATGACTTTAGGCAGTAAAGATTAGAGTGCAACTCTGATTTGAGAAAATCAGTCCCTATATTCCATTTATATAATTAAAGGCAGGTCAGTTTGAATTATTTAGATAATCCCCCAATTTATGGATTGGATTGGCTTAATCACTTGACCTGAGATTTATTACTCAGATACCATTTCCGTAATTGCTCAGGAAGTTCAATGTTTGCTTGTTTTTATCTTTAATTTCAGTTGATGACCAAAATTAGTATGGTAAGAACTGTTCTACCTAGTATACTATCAATTAATTAGAACTGCAGTACAATGTACATGGATATAAATTGTAATTAGCCTGATGAACTAAGAATCTTAAATATTAAATTGTATATCCATGTTCTAAAAATTGCAACAGGAAATATAACACCCTATGTTTCTGGTATATGGTTAACTTTTGTAACCAAAAAGTATGTTTTTTCTTTTCTTATTACGGAGAACAAAAAACCCAAAAAAACAAGTCAGGCTGTCTGGAAAAATCAAATCAGCCAACTCTACCCATTCCTGTGTAATTCTAGAAGTGACACCAAATCTGATCCTCAGATCAAACTTACAAGAAACTTTATACAGACACATTCAAGAGGGGCATGTTAACAAAAGTCATGAAAGAGGTATTGGTAATATGGCGCTGCAACATTTTAAAATTATTTATCTCCTATTTTGTCACAAGGCAAGAGTTGTTTCCTCTATTTTTCCACTGATGCCCTTCTGAATTCATTTTTAAACATCTTTTAAAAATTGGAAAATGTATTTGCCAAGTTTATAATTTACTCATTTTCATGGGTTATAAGTTTAAAG